CCCAGGGAAACCACAATAAAGCTTTTACCCACATTTCCCCTCCCTCCCTCTGTCTCCTGACCCACCCTGGTGCTTCCCTGTGTGGCCTGTGGTATGGCATGACTCTTCTCTTGCCATCTGTATAAGTATAACCAACTTTCTTTTCAAAAGCCCTTGTGTTCTGATCTGTTGGCCTTTTCATACCTAAAGAATGAAACCTACTTTTTAAAATTAAACATTTTTAGTATTGACATAATTGCAGTGACCCCCTTTTCCCCACCCTTATCTCAGCTCCATCCCTCTCCCCCTCCCTTGGCTTTCACCAACCTATTGTCTATGTCCATGGGTATACCTATATGTTCTTTAGCTAATCTCCAAATATCTCCCTATTAATATTCTTTTGACCAACTTAAGTCATGTAAGCTCAGTGTTGACATGTGGGGAAGTACTTTTTGACCACCAGCTTGGCAAGTGAGAATGCATGTTTCCATTAGAAAGAAGAGAAGGATTGGATACTGTTCGCTGGAGTGGTGAGAGTGTGCATGTAACATTCTGTGACTGTGGATATATAATTCTATTGGAGGGGAGTGGAGATTTGGAGCCAATAATTTAGTGTGCCACACTGTATGTATATATGTATATGATATTAGCTTAAAAAAAAAAGTGAGATCTGAATATGATTTCAAATATGTCAAACAGAATCCATGCAGAGAAAGAAATCTTGAAGGAAAGACATTGAAATGTTAATTGAAATGTAAATGATATAACATTTGGGTTCTAGGACTGTGAAAGAATAAAAGTATTCCTTCTTCTATTTTACAAACTGTGTTTCATGAGAATATACTCATTTCATAATTAAAAACAGGCTCTAGTGACTTGAAGTGGAGTCGTCTAAGTATTAAACTAAAATTGTTGGAATATCAATAGGATCAGTAGCGGTCCTAAAAGCAAGTGCAAGGAGGATTCACTCCTGATCCTGTGAGGACAGAAAGGTTTCGGAGTATGGAACCCCAGGAATTAACATGGCTTGTCCTCTTTTTCTTTGTTATTAAAAGTGTGGTGCACAGGTCGCCAGCATTGGCATCACCTGGGTACTTGTTAGAAATACGCAGTCCAGCTGAGACCAGTTTGGCTCAGTGGATAGAGCGTCAGCTTGGGGACTGAAGGAACCCGGATTCGATTCTGGTCAAGGGCATGTACCTTGGTTGCGGGCATATCCCCAGTAGGGGGTGTGCAGGAGGTGTGCAGGAGGCAGCTGATCGATGACTCTCTCTCTTCGATGTTTCTAGCTTTCTATCTCTCTCCCTTCCTCTCTGTACAAAATCAATAAAATATATTTAAAAAAAGAAAAAAGAAAAAAAAAAAAGAAATACGCAGTCCGATCTTCATCCCAGAATTACTTAATCTGATTTGCATTTTTAGAGAATTATCCAGGTGGTTTGTATGCACGTTAAATTTGAGCTGTACTAATCTATTCCACACTGTTATAACATCATTTAAAGTAAACACTTTTTTTCCCCTTTATGATTCAAAAGGAATTATTATTTTAAAATGAAGTGGAACAGATAGTGGAACAGACAGGCAAACAGAATGAGAAAGAACCAACAATATTTGCACTGGAAAAATGAATTATTCAATCTGAAATAGTTATTTAAAAAAATATATATATATTTTATTGACTTTTTACAGAAAGGGAGAGAGAGGGAGAGTCAGAAACATCTATGAGAGAGAAACATTAATCAGCTGCCTCCTGCACACCCCCACTGGGAATGTACCCACAACCAAGGTATATGCCCTTGACTGGAATCGAACTCAGGACCCTTCAGTCTGTAGGTCGACACTCTATCCACTGAGCCAAACCGGTCAGGGCTGGAATAGTCCTTGATTGCCTGCTTGATGTGAGTCACTGTTCCAGGTGGAATAGCATTTCCTCTCCCCAATTATCCTATATAATAAAAGGCTAATATGCAAATTGTCCCTTCGGAAGTTCGACCGCTCACTATGATGTGCACTGATCATCAGGGGGCGGTGCAGAATGAAGAAAGGCCCTGGCCGGCAGCCAGCAGCTGGGGGAAGGAAGACCCTGATTGGCCCTGATTATTGGCTAGGCCTAGAAACCCTACACGTGCACAAATATTGTGCACTGGGCCCCTAGTAAGACAGAACTGTAATTGTGGGATGTGGGATGTGTTAGTAGAATGTTAATAAGTGTCATATTGTATTGTGTTTCCCGTGGCTGCTGTAACATATAGGCACAAACTGGGTTCCTGACCACAACACAGTTGATTATTTTACTGTTCTGGTGGCGGAAAGTCTGAAACAGGTCTTGCTGGGCTAACATCAGTGTCAGCAGCAGGGCGGGCTCCCTTGGAGAAGTTGTACCCTTCCCTCTTCCAGCTTCTCCTGGCTGCTTGCATTTCTTTGCCTGATTCCATCTTCAAATCCAGCAGTGGTCAGTAGAGCTTCTCTTATTGCCTCATCTTTCTTTCTTTCTTTCTTTCTTTTTTTTTTTTTTAAATATATTTTATTGATTTTTTTACAGAGAGGAAGGGAGAGAGATAGTTAGAAACATTGATGAGAGAGAGATATCGACCAGCTATCTCCTGCACACCCTCTACTGGGGATGTGCCTGCAACCAAGGCACATGCCCTTGACTGGAATTGAACCTGGGACCCTTCAGTCCGCAGGCCGAGGGTCTATCTACTGAGCTAAACCGGTTTCGGCTATTGCCTCACTCTTAAGTCAATTCTCTTCTGCCTCCTATTCCATTTCTAATAACCTTTGTAATTGCACTGGGCCCACCCAGCTAAGCCAGGGTCACCTCCCTATGTTAAAGTCGGCTGATTAGCAACCTCAAGTCCACCTGCCATGGGAGGTTCCAGGATAAGAACATGGGCATCCTTGGGAGGCTATTATCCTGCCCACCACACCCATGAACTAGAGATTTAGTGGGCACGTGAATCTGCAAATCACATGCCCTCCTGGGAGCTTTGCACTGTACCTTAGCATAGTGAAGGCTCTGAGAAATGAAGCAGAGAAGCCCATTTAACTTGGCCCAACCCGGGACCTCTTCTTTTATGTGCACATTTCATGAAGCCGAGCTAGAGAAATACACAGACATTCAGAGTAAATGAGAAAACTGGTTTCTGCCCTAGAGGAGTTGAAGAAAGCTTTTCATGTTTTAAAAATCATGGATTGCAACTTAATCCTGGCTTCATTGGTGCCTAGGGCATGCAGGGCAGGGAGTGAGAATGAACATCTGTGGAAACCAGAGGCCCCACTCCCCAGGCTTCTGTTCCATTATCAGGCAGCCTCGAGTGCAGCAGTGGTGGTGGGAGTCTGTGCCAATTTCCATTTTGACCAGGCACACGTTGTGGTGTTATGAATAATAATAAAAAATCTGTCCAGGCCACTCTCCTAATCTCTATAACTCCGTTTCTCATTTGTAAAATTGGGTTAATGGTATCCCTTTCATCCAATACCACTGTGGGGGTTTTAATTAATATTAAAATGTTTTTTTTGGCATCTACATGCAGAAAGAGTTATTACAGTTCAATGCCAGATATTATGATGGTAATGAGGACTAGCTCACCAATGTTTCATTACATGTGCAGCTTTTTTTTTTTATCATTAATTTACTACATAAGCCATTGTACAGTATTATCTCTAGAGCCAGAGCAGCCAGCTTCTTTCATCTTTTAGATAGCTTCTGTGGAAACCAAGAAATATAAACGGGAAAAGGCTGTGTCTTGTAAAAATAAAATAAAAAAATCCCAGAAGGCATTTGTTTTATGTGGTGAGCACAATGATTGCTTCCAATAAAGAGGCCTTGGAAAGCCTCGCTTGTTCTAAGATTATTCATGCAGCAATTATGCTATTGATGGCAACCTGTTTTTATGATAATATATTATAAGCTATTCTGAACCCACTCAACAAAGCATAGGATAGCACTTGCAATCTTACTCAGGACCTCTTTGACTAAGATACCTATTCACGTCCTTATTAGAAAAAGCTAAAGAATATAGGCATTTTAAAAAAGAGATAAAGTACAGATTGGTTGTAATCGTTAATGAATTGGGACTTGTAATTTTAAAGTGAAGACTCACAAAAGAGAGAAATTACTGAGAACCCTGACTTACATTTTTGATAATCTCACTTATCTTAGTACAAATGCTTTCCATGGGTCCCTAAATCATGTGCATGACACAAAGGAAGGGGACTTATTTAGTTTACTATTGGACACGAACAAAGGGTTTCTTAACTTTGTTTTGCTACGGGTTTTCAAGTTGACCCGTGAACAACATGGGTTTGAACTGCACAAAGGCAGATTTTTTTTTTTTTTTAATAAATACAGTAATCATTCTTTTATATTCTTGGGTTTCGCATCTGCAGCTTCAACCAAACACCTATCAAAAACAGTATTTTTGAACTTCCAACTGTAGCTTCCCAAATGCACATTCCTAGCTTTGGATCAAAAGTACTGTTTTCAATCCATAGTTGGTTGAATCCTTGGATGTGAAGGGGCTAAATGTAGAGTTAGAAGTTAAACCCAAAGTATTTTTACTGCAGGAGGTCAGTGCTATGAATCCCCATGTTGATTAAGGCTCAACTGTATTCCTATTTCAAGTGTGTATTATTAAGTTCTTTTAGGTTTTTGGTTTTGCAGGATTCGTAACACATTAATGCATTTTAATTTAAAATAGTTATTGTTGCCGAAACCAGTTTGGCTCAGTGGATGGAGCGTCGGCCTGGGGACTGAAAGGTCTCAGGTTTGATTCCGGTCAAGGGCATGTACCTTGGTTGTGGGCACATGCCCAGTGGGGGGTGTGCAAAAGGCAGCTGATCGATGATTCTCCCTCATCGATGTTTCTGACTCTCTATCCCTCTCTCTTCCTCTCTGTAAAAAAATCAATAAAATATATTTTAAAAAATAAAATTAAAAAAAAAAGTTATTGTCATTGTTTTGCTGAGGTGAATTTCTATGAAAAGAAAGCTCTTTAGGCTGCCCTCCACTGGTGTGTTTGTCGGGCTCCATTATGGCAACTGGCAGTCCCAGCCTTGTGATTACGGATAATGAACCAGGTTATGACCAAGATTTACTTTGCATACCCAATCATTACGTGGAGGATTTGGAAAAGGTGTTTATTCCTCGTGAACTAATTATGGACAGGACTGAGCAGCTTGCTGGAGAAGTGATGAAGGAGATGGGAGGCCATCATATTATATTCCGCTGCGTGCTCAAGGGGGGCTATACATTCTTTGCTGACCTGCTGGATTGCATAATAACACTGAACAGAAATAGTGATAGGTCCATTTGTATGACTGTAGATTTTATCAGACTGAAGAGCTACTGTAATGACCAATCAACAGGGGACATAAAAGTGATTGGTGGAGATGATCTCTCAACTCTAACTGGAAAGGATGTCTTGATTGTTGCAGATATAATGGACACTGGCAAAACAATGCAAACCTTGCTTTCCTTGGTCAAGCAGCATAATCCAAAGATGGTCAAGGTCAAAAGCTTGCTGGTAAAAAGGACCCCTCGAAGTGTTGGATATAGACCAGTCTCTGTTGGATTTGAAATTCCAGATAAGTTTGTTGTAGGATAGGCTATTATAAATACTTGACTATAATAAATACTTCAGGGATTCAAACCATGTTTGTGTTATTAGTGGAACTGGAAAAGCAAAATACAAAGCCCAAGATGAGAGTTCAAGTTGAGTTTGGAAACATCTGGAGTCCTATTGAAATCACTAGTAAAGTTATCAGATGTTCTAATTCTGTGGCCAGCTGCTTAGTAGAACTATTGCATGTATCTTCTAAGAATTTTAACTGTTTTGTACTTTAAAAATGTCAGTTGCTGCATTCCTGAACTCTTTATTTGCACTATGAGTCTAAGACTATCAGTTTCCTTTGGGTGGATTGTTATTTGACTTATGGATAAAGAATATCTTAAACCACACCACTATTGAATGGAAATATTAAAATTGTATTTGTGCCGGGACCGGTTTGGCTCAATGGATAGAGCGTCGGCTTGGGGACTGAAGGGTCCTGGGTTTGAATCCGGTCAAGGGCATGTGCCCTGGTTGCGGGCATATCCCCAGTAGGGGGTGTGCAAGAGGCAGCTGATCGATGACTCTCTCTCATCGATGTTTCTAACTCTCTATCTCTCTCCTTTCCTCTCTGTACAAAATCAATAAAATATATTTAAAAATAAAAATAAAAAATAAAATAAAATTGTATCTGTAAGAAACCTTTAAAGAGAAGATATATTAGCTTTTAATTGGTATTTTAATTTTTATATATTCAGGAAAGTACAGAAGTGATTGAATATTATTAATTATTCCACCATGTGTTTAGAAAAGTAAAAAGCAGTCAGGTTTTGTATCTAAGACATCACCTAAGAGATATTGTTATATTAGATAAACCATATGTCCTGGAATTCTTTAAGTAGTGTTTCAGTATTATTAACTGTATTTTCCAGCTTGTTCACATTACTTTCAGTGAAACTTTGTCAACAGTTCCTTTTAAATACAAATCAATAAATTCCAGAATAACATTAACACTTTTTGAATTCATCAGTGTAAAAATAAGGGCTGTCTCTTTAAAAGGAAAAAAAAAGTCAAAATAAATATTAAAAGATGTGTGCCTTGATCTTAAAGAGGTTGCTTAAATCTTACACTTGTTTCACTCAAGTTTTGTTACAAATTTATTTATTTTTTAAAATATGTCTTTGTTAATTTCAGAGAGAGGAAGGGAGAAGGAGAGAGAGATAGAAACATCAGTAATAAAAGAGAATCACAGATCAGCTGCCTACTGCATTCCCCCTACTGGGGATCGAATCTACAACCTGAGCATGTGCTCTGACTGGAATCAAACTGTGACCTCCTGGTTCTTAGGTCAATACTTAACAACTGAGCCACACTGGCTGGGCTTGTTACAACTTCAAATTGAGTTTATATCCACATGGACAGAGTGGAAAATCTCTCAATGAAGCATCTGTTTCATGTTGTCATCTATTTTCACTATCTACAAAACTGAATATAAAATTTATTATACAAAAGATGCCTTTTATCCCCAATAGGAGGATCCTGCGCGCGCCCCCCCCCCCCAATTGTTTTCTCCCCATTTCATTTTGCTTTGTAGATATAATTCTGGTAAGTGATTTGAAGATGGGTAAAGAAAATGTTTGCTGAAGCTGATGAGAGCAAGCAAATTGATTGATTAAGATCTTGGTCTCCTTTATAAGCTGCGTTGCAAAAATAGTTACGTAAAATAGCCGAAGCCTGTTTGGCTCAGTGGATAGAGCATCGGCCTGCGGACTGAGGGGTCCAGGGTTCGATTCTGATCAAGGGCATGGACCTTGGTTGTGGGCACATCCCTGGTGGGGAGGTGTGCAGGAGGCAGCTGATCGATAATTCTCTCTCATTGATGTTTCTAACTCTCTGTCCCTCTCTCTTCCTCTCCGTAAAAAAATCAATAAAATATATTTAAAAAAAGTTATGTAAAATAAAATTTAAAAATATGTGTATAAATCAGGGTAAAAGAATATGTTAAAGAGAAAAGTAAAATGAAACCTAGTGTGAAGTCACACTTAAAATGCACCTTACTCTTGTAATACACACTGTCAAGCTAAGTGGTATACACACGTTTATTTCTATATATTTTTTAGCAGCCCATGAAATAAAGGAAAATCACTTCTAATGAGAATCTCTTGAAGATCAAGTCCATTATTTAGCTGGAGTCTATTTCCAATGATGAGGCTAGTGGAGAAAATGAAACTATGTCTTTCTTTATCTGTCTATCTCTCCTATGTCTCTCTCTGCCTCACTGTCTTTGTCTCTCTCTCATTCTGGGATTGAGAATAATGAGTTGAATTCTCTGATATTAAGGGTGCCTCTGATACAACCTTATTGCTCTCTGAATTGGGCTGTTCAAGGAACAGAATTTTAAAGTCCACGTGCCTCTGTTATTTTGAGAAAGGTGGGGAGTGATGTGGCTGATCATCCGAAAATATCAGATGATACAACATTTATTTTTAGCTCAGAAATGCAACTGTGGGACTTTTAAATAAAATCCAACGCATTTTGTTGGCTAAACCAGTCACGACCAGCTGGCACGGCACAAAACTGAAAGTCACCACAAAGGGAATTATCAGTGGAGGGAAAGTCCTCAAACAGTCGATGGGGGCTGACAGTTTGCCCAGTGGTAGAGAGCTGTGTGTGTGTGCTGATATAATGAATCCAGGGATTTCCACCATCAGTTACTATGGGTGAAAGCCACTCTGGATTTTGAACGCTCACATGTCCGGTTGCCTCAGAGATGTGAAATCCTGTCCTGGCTCTGTCACGAACTCTCTCTGTGATCCTGAGCTAGCCACTTCCCCATTCCTCAGTCTGTTCCCTCTCCATGCAATGTGAATTGGACCTGAAATTTAAGCAGAGTAGTTCACATCCCCCGAAAACTTCATGTGTGTAAACATGTAATTCTTTTTAAAAAAATATATTTTATTGATTTTTTACAGAGAGGAGGGGAGAGTTATAGAGTTAGAAACATCAATGAGAGAGAAACACTGATCAGCTGCCTCCTGTGCACTCTCTACTGAGGATGTGCCCACAACCAAGGTACATGCCCTTGACCAGAATCGAACATGGGAACCTTCAGTCCCAAGGCCGACACTCTATCCACTGAGTCAAACCAGTTTCGGTCATGTAATTCTTTTTTACTTCTCTATAGCCAAACTAATTGCTCATAGCCCCTATTTTAATGACGAGAGAAGGAGGGAAGGAGTGAAGGAGAAGAGACAGAGAGAGAGAGAAACTAAGCAAATCAAGCAAACAAATTTCAATTTTGCCACTTCAAGCTCTCTTACTTTCTTCTGGTTTAGAAGTTAGCCTTTTGGTGTAATGGCTCAGGACTTAAATTCAGTGGATTCACAACTCAGACTCTGTTAGGGCTGCCTTTCCCTCTCAGGAGTTGTGCCCTGTCCTCTTAATCCCGCCGCTGTCCTGTGTGGTGTCCTCTACTTGGCACTTCTTTTCCTTGCGATGGCTTCTGCTGCCAGGGAAACTGAGGCAGCAGTGCAGTGAGAGGTGGGGTGTCTGGGCCTCCACCTGAGGCTCTCATCCCACCACCCCTGCTTGTGCTGCTGACATGCATGTGCACCTGCTGCTGATGCCCCGGGGTGGCCATGTCCTCAAGTCCACGTGGCCGGTGGGTACAACTCCCCTGCCATCCCAGGCAGCGAGGCTCTTGGGGCGCTGCTGAAAGAAACGTGTTCAGAAGCACTCATGGGAGGATGGGAGGTGGGAAAGGTTATTTGCATAAAGGTACTACATTTCTCAGGTTCCAGTCCTGGAAAAGGTGCAGCTGGGAGTTCAGTGAAGCCAGGAACCAGGCCAGTGTCCAGTCTCCAGTCCATGTTGCAGCTGGTGTGGCTCAGTATCCAGGCCGGAGTCAAGTCCGTCAGTCCCTGTGTGGAGCCCTCATGGCCATGCACCCGGTGGGCACAGTGAGTGCAGCCCCTGCAGCAGGGGCCCAAGAGGTCCCGGCGGCCTGGAGCCTGAGGGCCTGGCTTCTTTTCTAGAAGCCCATGGATTTAGACTTCGTGAGCTTGCACCAGCTCCGTCCATCCTGGCCAATTTCCTATTTCCAGGTGTGACTCATGGGCCAGCAGGGCCCAGGTCACTCAGACCTTACTGGGCATGTGTCTCAAAGGCCTTTGTTCAGTTCCTTTCCCCATCGAGGAGCAGGGAAGCGACTTGTTAAATGAAGCTTTTTGGCAAAGCTGTGTCTAAATGGATGGCTCTATCCAGCCTCCCCCTTCCTCCTTTCCTGAGAAATAACAACCAGATTATGACCATGGTACGGCATGCACTTTGTGTTCGCCTTATGATGCCCCCACTCCCTACCCCTCTTAGCTCTCCCCCCTCCCCCTGCAGCATGCAGGGGCTGTTGGACAGGAGCCAGCACTGAAAAGCCAGGAATTCAAAGCTCTCTACCTCTCTATGCTATGCCTTCATTTCTACCACCTGAATCTAAACTAGGATGCAACTAAGAGGGCTAAAGGCGCACAGTGAGTGCTTTTTTCTTTCTTCTGTCATAAAGCAGGCTCTTCGGTCCTGAGATCCTCAAGCCCACTGAGCGGTTTTCAGTTTGCACCAAGTGTCGCTCCATCGTGGAAGGGAGGGTACTGACCGATGTCTGTCTCTCTTTCCTGCCTCCTGGCTGGGGGGGGGATTACTTCCTCTTGTGTGGTGGGATATGGCATCCATTCCATATTACATATAGTATCTTTCTATGGGTCACACTACGCATTCTATTATCCAGTCTCAGTTTTAAGGCTTTGGAGTCTGCAAAGGACCCCCCCACCCCCCCCCCCTCGATCCCAAGCCACATGTTTCACAAAGTTCGGCTCTTGCAAAGTAGAAGTAAAAAATTCTGGATTTCTTGTCTTCAAAGTGTGCATGAAATCTGACTATTCTCTTTGTTGCTCCTAAGCAAGAGATTCTAAGACGTCTATGAGCAGAAGACAAAATTATCTAAAAATATTTAAAAATAGAATTCAGCTATGTGAAAAAAAATCTATAGCATTAATAAGTGGGGTTTATTTTAGGGATGCAAGGCTAGTTCAATATTTGAAAAATCAGTCAATGTAAGTAAGTTGACAGGTGGAGGAAGAAAAAAATTCACATGATTATATCAATTATGCAGAAAAATCACATGATAATACTTAATTTTCATTCATGATGAAAATTTTTTAGGAAAATAAGAATAGAGAGGGAATTTTTTTTAATTTCATAAAGAACACCTACAAAAAAACCAACAACTAACTTTATGGTGAAAGACTAAATACTTTCCTTTTAAATTCAGGTACAAAGCATGGATGTCCACTCTTATTTCATGGAAGTTCTAGCCCATGAAATTAGGTTAGAAAAGGAAATAAAAGTCATGCAGATCAGAATGGGCAG